TTTTAGGAGAATTTGAAAGTATTCTAAGTAAACCTGTTATGCAAAGAGTTAATTCTTCCAAACTGTCTCCATGTTTTCTATTTGCTTATTGGTGTTCATAGTGATAGTGTCAGTGATTATGGCTAGACTGACTGTGTTGATTTATTTAATAGAACATCAGAGTCATGGCAAGGTACTACACTAGAATAACACTGAGAAGAATGAGTCAGCTCTTGGACCTAACTGTAGATGTGAGTCATCAATTTTCATAAGATTTAAATTGTGTTTCCCTAGATTTACTTTTAGTTTTGTTTGTTTGTTTTGTAATTAATAAATTATTCACGTCGTCATTGTAAATATGACAGACAGGGATGATCGCTGAGCTTTACAGTTTAAAATTAGTGATTTGGTTTCATTTAGCTTACTTGACCAAATAAGAATTGTGAAAAAATACATGTAGTTTGTGGCAAGTGTGATGAAGAGTTTCATCTTGGCCAGTAAAGGATTTAATAAAAGGCATAAAGAACACCATTTCCTTGTGGGAAACATTAGGTAATCCTTTGTGGGCAAATATCCTCCATTTATGACTTGAACAAAAATGTGTTTTGTTGGTTCTGTCTTGAATTAGCCTGGAAGTTTTGTCAAAAGAAGCAAATTACCTAGTTTACTTCACTTCCCTGTTTTTCTTTTTCAGGAGACAGAATTGTTCCTCTCTGAGCTAGTGGTGTCCAAAACAGTGTTTGCAAGAATTGACCGTCCCGCAGGCATTGTTACCTTCAGTGCACACAAAGAATCTAATGNAATTGTGAAAAAATACATGTAGTTTTGTGGCAAGTGTGATGAAGCGTTTCATCTTGGCCAATAAAGGATTTAATGCAAGGCATAAAGGACACCATTTCCTTGTGGGAAACATTAGGTAATCCTTTGTGGGCAAATATCCTCTATTTATGACTTGAACAAAAATGTGTTTTGTTGGTTCTATCTTCAATTAGCCTGGAAGTTTTGTCAAAAGAAACAAATTACCTAGTTTACTTCACTTCCCTTTTTTTCTTTTTCAGGAGACAGAATTGTTCCTCTCTGAGCTAGTGGTGTCCAAAACAGTGTTTGCAAGAATTGACCGTCCCGCAGGCATTGTTACCTTCAGTGCACACAAAGAATCTAATGAGATTCTCAAAGAGTGGTCACAAAACCTTAACACTCTAATGCAACTTCTAAATCGTACAACACATCTCATCACCAAAGAGGAAATGGTTCATAAACTTGTACAAATGTAACTTATCTTGCATTGCTCTGAAGCTCGTACCAGTACTGGAATGACATGACAGGGCCTTGCAGCTGGGTCAAGCTAGGCTTGATTAAAAAATGTCCAATATGGAATGTAATTTAACGAATACCACAAGTGGATTGAGTGAGATGAAATTA